GTCTGTCCGTCTCGGGCTTTTTAGCAACTGAAGCAGCAGCGAGACAAACTGCGGCAGTACCAGAAGCGGATAAGCCTGAACCTGGAGAGGGAGCGAGCGCTGGCCCGGGAGCTGCTGAGGGACGGCAAAAAAGAGTGAGTGAGGCCTCGGCCCGGGGCGCGGGTGCCAAGGCCCGGCAGGCGCAGGGAGCCTCGGTCTCCCGGAAGGGAAAGTTCCTGGCTCGCCGGTATTGATGAGCTGTGGGGATACTGGCAGGTTATTCTTTCAGAAAGGAAGTTTAGTTTAAAGTTGTATGCCTACAGCCGAGAGAGGCTGCCTGCGTTCCACAGCGGGCGTTGAAACGGGTCTTCAAAAAGCGGCTTGCTGTCCTTTGCCGCAGAGCGCCAGCGGCACGTTCGGGTGCTGCGTCAGTGGCCGTCTCTCTCGTCCTGTTTTGAGTGGGTATCATAAGCCTTTTGCGCAAGGGCTTCGTTTTGCGTTGCTACGGCACAGCTGGCCCGGTGGAGTCCTGATCCACACCAGATATATCCAAATTCGTGATTAATTTGCTCATCCTTATTCTTCACGGGAGCAGTTCGGAGCTGTCATTTAATTTGCACATAGGTTTTTTCCTCTTTTGGAAAGAGCACAAAACAAATATGGCTTTGATGTGATTTGTTTAGGCTTAGTTGCTTTCATCTGTGCTGAGTTTTCCTCCCCCTGTTTTCCTTCAGAAAAGCCATGCTCTTGCTAAAGAAGAAGCGTTACCAAGAGCAACTTCTAGATAAAACGGAAAACCAAATCAGCAACTTGGAGCGGATGGTAAGCGAGGATCAGTTGCTGTGCGCTGCGGGTGGCCGGCTGCGTGCGTTTGGTCTGAGTCTTTTCCGGGGTGGGGGCTCCTTTTGGTTGTGTGGCGCTGTATGTTAACTGTCGAGCCCTCGTGGGGTTTAGTCCTCAGTCCCAAGGGCCGATGTCTCTGAAATTGTACGTATGCCGTGACTCTTCCCTAAAGAACCAAGCGGTGAGTGTGTTTTGAGTCTGTAGGGCAGGTTACGTATTAAATACGTGTTTGGTAAACTACTAAAACTTCAGTCATGGTGTGGGCAGCTGCAGGAGAAACTTCCTCAGGCTTGCCTCGGTACCTTGATTTTAGAAATGAATGTGTTTGCTCTGGGGTGGCTGCGGAAACTATGGCCTCGGCTCAGACTGTCAGCGAGAAAACCAGTTAAAGGGCTGTTGGATGTGTTTTTGCAGCTGCCTGTGTTAAGGCTTTTTGTGTGCACGTTTCTTGCCACTGGTATAATTTAAGCCGCTGCTCGCAGGAGAAAGGGCTCCTGACTGATTTCTCCTTGCAGTTTTGTGGGGATCTTCGCAGTCTGCATCTGGCTAACGATGGGAACGCAACAGCCTGTGATGCTTCCCCCTCTCCTTCCTGTTTCAGGTCCAGGATATCGAATTCACCCAGATTGAAATGAAGGTCATTGAGGGCTTGAAAATAGGCAACGAATGCCTGAACAAAATGCACCAGGTACGTGTGGCCGAGTCAGCTGAACACGCTCTTGCCTTGGACTAGGCAGAGTCCTGGGCGTTTGTAGCTGTCTCCCTGCAGACCTCACTCACGCACGGATTTTTTGGCTCTTTTCTTCAGGTTATGTCAATAGAAGAAGTAGAAAGAATAATGGGTGAAACCCAAGATGCTGTGGAGTATCAGAGGGTACGTACTGTGTGCGTGAGCAGAGGCAGCCTGCCACGCAGAGTTTCTCTCTCGTGCGCTATGTTCCCAGCCTTATTTTAGAGGCAATCAGATTGGGAATTAAATCTCAGTTGCCTGCAGAAAAATTAGCTTTGCTAGTTCCGAGTACCCCTTCACCCCTCGTTTACGTTGCTCTCCCCCGGACATGCGCTGTGCTGGAAGCCGTAGAGCTGCTCCTGCTGCACTGTGGTTGACTGGAATATGTCTTTTTCTCTGTTTCACAGCAAATAGATGAGATACTGGCTGGCAGCCTGACTGAGGAAGATGAAGATGCCATTCTAGAAGAATTAAATGCTATTACTCAGGTAGGACTAACCTGATGTTCTTGTAATTACTTTTAATCCACGTTTTCAGAAAGCTGTTTGTAATAGGGGAGAAAGTATCTTTTCCCTCGCACTCGATAGCTTATCTTATTCTGCCAGAGATCTCAGTCGTACCTGTTTGTGCCCAATTCCTGTGTCATCAAAGATCAAGCTAATCGCTCCACACACGGGGCCATTTAAAAATGGGATGCTGTTAGGGGTTGTACTTTATTTGCTGTCTGTTACAGTCAGCTGAGCTCTGTTCTTACTGGATACCTATTCCACTTCACCAGATGAAGGTCTTGAAAGTCCTGGATCGTGCTCAGATAGCAGAAGTCAGTGTGCATTATCATCCCCACCCATCTCCGTGGAGCCTGCAGCTCTTCCAAACGCCGGATCGGCTTGGCTTCGCTGTAGGAAATGTCCAGCCAGCGGAGATTGGGGTGGAGAGGCTCTGCAGTAGCATTGATTTGAGGAGACTTATAGCTGATACAGGGTCCTACTAAGTCTCATTTAATAATTAAAAAACCCCCTTGTTCTCATTTACTGGGCGGTACTGGAGCCCGTAACCCGTCCTGCAGTTCTGGGGGCAGATGTCAGTTTGTACATGAAATCCCTTATTAGTATTATTCTGTTCCCAGACTGTCTTTGCGCAAAACCGTGGCGCAAGGGTCTGCGGCCACCACCTCATCTGTGGGGTATGTGCCATGTGTCGTCTTTAATGTTCTTGCAGGAACAGATGGAGCTTCCGGAAGTTCCTTCTGAGCCACTCCCAGAAAAGATCCCAGGTACGCTTCCTTTATACGCTCCGCAGCTTTGGCTTCTCATCCTTCAGGTCCATGCAATAGTCTGAGACCCTCTCCTGTTGTAAGTATTGTCCTGGCAAACGTGAAGGAATATAAACTTCCTGGTTTAAAGCCCTGTTGATCTGGGCTGTGCGAGCTTCCCCTGCGCGGCTCTGACAAATCCAGCTGACCCTTTACCAGAAGAGGACCCAGGGCTCTGGTCCCTGTGTTCAGTCGGCATCCAGTCATTCCTCTTGAAGAGTTCCTTTTTGTTGCATCTGCTGTCTTTAAGTCGTGCTTTGTACCTGCGGTGAGACCGCCAGCTGCCTTGAAACCCCCGGCGTACATGCTGTTGTGAAGCTCCGTGAGGAGCTCCTTCCTCAGCGCTCTGCTTCACCCAGGCAAGACCTTCTCGCACAGCGCTCAAACTGGTCCCCCGCACCTCATCGCAACGTGCTGCTACGCAGGAACAATTCTTTGTGACCACGGATATTGGCATTCACACTGCACAAAACTGGATTTCACTGAGGGTCCTGACTACTCGTAGCTCTTGTGACCTTGCTTCAGGTACCGGTGGTGCTTTTGAACCAGCTGGGTGAGGATCACTGGAGTCCCACAATTCCAGGGCTCTTGGAGCGTGAGCTCCGCACGACTGATGCTACATGCGCGTTCGCTCCTGAGCGATCCAAAACCTCAGCGGCGGGGTTTGTGCGGCTGGGTGCGAAGAGAGAAGTGCGAGAGAGCTCCAGAAGCAGCGTGACCAAACGGTCTGTTGCCTGGTGAGGAAGGAATCTTCACAGAGTGTCTGTCCGTCCTCGTTACCCCGTGTCTGTCCATGCTGTGAGCTGAAGGTGGAGCCTCCCTTGGAGACAAACAGGGAGGTAAAGCTGGACTCAGCTGGATGCCAGAAGGCAAACTGGTAAAGAGTCTGTCTCCTGGAACAGCAGAACACCGAACCGTTGCTCGCAGAAGCTGGACGTCCCTGCTTGTGGAAACTGGGAGCTGTAAGAAGCCATTTCCTCCATGTGGAATCTGCCCAGGAGAAATCTGGGATGTGGGAGACGGGGCTGGCTTCATTTTAGTGCTTGTTTACTGGTAAACATGGATCAGATGTCATCTCCGTATGTTGGCAGCAGGATGGCCAAACAAAATACAAGTCGCCCTTGCTGCGTGCAGCTGACCGAGCCCGTTTAGACTCGCGCTGTCAGATCGAAGGGGTGAGGGGAGAAGCTGGGCTACCCCCTGCCCCCCGAGGAACCGCTCGCTGCCCTCGATCTGGGCTGGTGACTTACTAAGGCGGTGTTGGGTGCGTTCTGAAACTGTTTTAATTCTTCAGGTGCTGTGGAAAAAGAGGGGCATACTGGATATGTGGAATTATTTATAACGAACTTTTATTAATTCAGGTGCTGTGCAAGCATTTGTTGCTCTACGGAGGAGTGGGTTATGAGTCCTAGTTCTTCCGCAGGAGATGACTGGAGATTATTTGCGTTCTCTGTTTCTGTAACAAGTTTCTTTTTCTTCCACAGAAGCGTCACCCGTCAAGAACAGGCCAAAACCAGAACTGGTGGCAGCATCTTAACTCCCACTTCTGGGGATTCCCCCACATAACTTTCACCCAGGACAGTTTGCCATCCCAGCGTGTGCTGGGACCGAGCAATGCCTCGGCAGCATCCCAGCTGTGCTGGGCGGATCGTGGAGCAGGATTCCCTGTGCAGGGTGGGGAACCTCAGCTGATTATTGCTCTTGTATCAAGATTATTTTCTAGTGCTTTCTTTTTTTTGTAACTTAAATTCTGAACTCACTCAGCTGCGCTGTCTCGGGATTAAACAACAACTCTAAAACTTCCGAAGCCAAATGCTTTCTTTAGGTTTGATTTCAGTGGTAAATCTGCCTTTGCTCTGACTGAATCCCCAGGAAATCCCACCTTCGGAGCAATTGTGCGTTTGAAACGTCCGTCTGGGGCATTGGGCTGGGCAAGAACGAGCCACTGCCCTGGGGAGCCCTCCAGACCACGCCGGTGTCTGCGCTCCTCTCGCTGCTTTTGCTTTTCCTCTTCTGATTCTGCTTGTGGAAAGGCTGCCGGCTTCTCTTGTCCTCGTGTAAATCAGACTGCCTGGTGTGTACGAGGCTCTGGAGGGGCATGGGCAAAGCGCAGGCAGCAAACCTGAGGTTCCGCGGGCAGCGACGCTTCTTGCTGCGGGTTGAAAACGGTTCTGTCAGCCTGGTGTAAAACCAGCTCACGCGCGAGGGTGTTTCGTCAGAGCAGAGTTCGGAGCGATTGCTTGGCTTCGCGTTTGCTGGCAGCGGCGCTGACTGGGGGAAAAGCCCGATCTCCGTGCGAGGTGAAGAGCTGGGCTCTGGCTGGGCGTGAGGCGGAGGCGGTCAGTAACGATTCCCATTCGGATCCCGCTCTGCCTGCCTCTGGTAACCCGTGGTGCTGAGCGAGGCCTGGGGTGGCAGAAGTCTGATGAGCCTCTTAAAATTACAGCAAGGAGTCTTCTGCCTGTGTTATGAGCCAGGAGTCGTCCCTTGCTGGCTCTGCACCATCAGCAGAGTTCACCTTTGCAACGTTCAGATGGGCTGAGACCGATTCTGCTTCCAGTTGTCAGCTCGTGTTTGATTTTTCGTTGTAGGGTTGGAGACAGGAAAGGTCAGGCTGGCGTAAATGTGAGGCTCGTTCTGTACCAGACACGAGGCGTGAAGCTTCTTAAATCAACACTCCAAAGACTCTGCTCGATAAATAGTTGAGAGAAGTCCGGTTCCTCCCGAGCCTGCACCGTGGAGGACGGTCTGGTGCTTAGCGCGGCGTCGCGGGGTGCTCGGGTCGGCAGGATGATGAATTGCTTGGAAAGCTGCCTGGCCAGCCAGGTGGCGGGCAGATTTAGCTGTTCTTGGAAGCAAGCTTACTTGCCAGCTTGCAGATGCTCTTCAGGACACTGCAGGTCTGTCTTTATTACATTCTCCAAGCCACAACCCTTAATCCCTGTTTCTGTGACAGCAGAAGAAGGACCAGAGGGTCCTTGGAGACTTCTAGTGACTGCCTTTGGGGTTATGTGGTCCGGTGCTAGACAATAACAAGTAATCCCAGAGACCGCGCCGCTCTCCGCACGGTGATGGGCCAGCAGCAGCTCTTGTTTTCGAGTCACGCTTTCCGCGTCTTCTCCGTTCGCTACGTCCCAAAGACTGGCCGGGGCATCCTCGCGCGAGGAGCAGGAGCCCTCCGGGCGCTTTGGAGCTGCCCTGTTTTCGGGTCACAGCAGAGCCGGGGCCTGCAAGCCTTGGACCCGTGTTTGCTCAGCGGGGCAACTTTAGCAAACAAAGAACTTTCTCTGAGATCGGCAGAGCGGGTTCAAACCGATCCTTGTGCCTACGCTGAATGCACCGATTACCCCGGCCAGTGTTTGGAACGGCCAAACCCTTCCCCCGGCTTTCCCAGCCGGAGCTAAAATGGGACAGGGCCGTATCCTGTTCTATGCTTCTGGGATTTTTGTTTTTTTCTTTTTTCTCTAGGCAAGGCTGTTGCTCTGCTCCGAGTTCCATCCTGGCTGCCTTGCAATGCACACTTGTTCCACCAGAGAGAGCCTGGTCTTCATCAGCACAGTGGTGTCTGGAGCATTTTTGTGGAACAGGGTTTTTTTTTTCCTTTTTTTTTTTTTTTTTTTCTCTTCAAGGCTCCTCCAGTCCGTTGCTAGCCTGGCGTCGACTTGTTTGATTGTACCCTATTTAATTTGTAATTCATAGGAGTGAATGCTGGACTCTCCCAATAAGGTCTTGAAGGGACCTTTCCTGGGAGCACAGCTTTTGCTGCTCGCGCTTTGTGTAAGCCCTGTTAAATAGGGTTGGCACGCATCACCTCACCGGGGCGAGGAGGGGAGAGCTCGGCAGTCCGTCTGCTCCGCTTCTCTTTCTCACGAACGTCCTGGCAGCGAGAGACGCGAGCCGACCCTCCCCGGGGGAAGCTGCTGCGAGGCCCGGTGCTGTCTGCGCTCTCGCTCGGTGCTTTCCGCGCTCTCGCTCCGTGCTTTCCTTGGGCGGGAGCTGGTCCAGAGAGGGAGTGGTTTAGCGCTGAAGGGGTTAATGCAGCTCCTTGCATTTGTTAATACAGTAAAGAGGCCGTTTACTGAACTAACAGGAAAGTTTGGAGCAGATTGCCAACCGCTTCCTCTTCTAATCCCTGCACCAAACAGATCGTGCTGTGTCTCCTTGAGAGGAAGAGCCAGGAGTGCTGTGTGACCTCTGTGGTGTGCTGTAACAATAAACTGTTTCTAATGGTTTCACCGATTCCTCTTCCAGCCTCGTGTTTTCACAGTAAATGTTTTGGACGAGCAAGAGTTGCCTTCCTCCTCCTTCCCCTTCTTACTCCCTGCTCCTGGGAGAGCTGTGGGCAGGAAATTTCAGAACAGGCTCCGTGCGTAATAGAAAAACAATCCTGTTTGCCTGGATGGCCCGGGAAGGCTCGTCTGTAAGAGACAGCAGCAGTGCCTGGCACGGCCCACGAGCCACGTACGGGTGAGCTGGAGGGATGTTTAAGAGAGCCTATACGTTTTATCGTTGCGGCGAAGGCAGGGCAGCCCCTGGCTGTGCCGCAGCTCTACCTGCCTGTCCCTCCTCGGGAGCAGGGCCATGTCGGGCAGATCCCTCGGGGCTACCCCGAGAAGTGGCTTACGGGGGGAAGGGGCTCTCCTGGGAGGCAGGAGTAATGGGCTGGATCCCAGGATCATAGAATCATAGAATGCTTTGGGTTGGAAGGGACCTTTAGGATGGTGTGGGGGGGATGTTTGGCAAGGCAGCCCTCCTGCCCTTGGGTTTGCAATGAAGCTGAACTGGGCTTTGGGTTTTGTTTTGTTTTTTTTTTTTGCAAGAATTATTCTGGAGCTGTTGACAAACTGAGCAGTAAGTCTGCACCTGGATGCTCGGGGAGCGTGTGGATCTGCGCAGGTCACAGCAGTGGCCGCGTTGCCCTGCCCGTGGCTGGGCTGGGGTCTGATTTCCCCTCCCCTCAGCAGGATTTTCTGCTTCCAGCTCGGTGGGGTTGCCCAGCCGCCCCAAGCAGCCAGCGCAGCCTGCCCTGCGTGTGACCATCGCCCGTTTCAAACCGGCACGGCTCTCGAGGGCACCAGTAACAAGAGTGGCGGGGCTTGCAGGTGCAAGGCCATGGCCATGGCAGTGTGCCCAAAAGGAGGGCAATGGAGCTGGTGAAGGGTCTAGAGAAGTCTGATGGGGAGCGGCTGAGGGAATTGGGGTTGTTCAGCCTGGAGAAAAGGAGGCGCAGGGGAGAGCCCATCGCGCTCTACAACTACGTGAAAGGAGCGGGTAGCAAGGGGGGGTGTTGGTCTCTTCTCCCAAGTAACGAGATAGGACGAGAGGAAATGGCCTCAAGTTGCGCCAGGGGAGGTTTAGATTGGATATTAGGAGAAATTTCTTCACGGAAAGGGTTGTCGAGTATTGGAACAGGCTGCCCAGGGAAGCGGTGGAGTCCCCATCCCTGGAGGTATTTAAAAGACGTGTAGACGTGGTGCTTAGGGACGTGGTTTAGTGGTGGATTTGGCAGTGCTGGGTTAACGGTTGGACTGGATGATCTTAAAGGTCTTTTCCAACCTAAATGATTCTGTGATTTGCAGGAGCAGTGCCGTAGCGCAGCACCGCCTTCATGCTCAGTCCTCGAGAGCGACACCATGGGTGTGGGACGAGGGGCCCTCGCCAGCGATGTCTCGGAGCCACCGGCTGGTGTTTGTTCCCAGATATTTTGGATTTACATCTTTTTTTGGTGATGGGAGCGCTGGGATGCCTCCGGGTCTCCGGCCTGGGCCAGCTGGAGCCGTGGCGGCAGCGCAGCCCCCCTGCGTTTTTTTTGCCGGGGTGTCCTAGGTCCCTGGGAAAGCAGCTGCTCCGTGTTTCAGGGTGTTTAATTAACACTCCCTCCTACCCGCTCAGCTGTGGCAGTGGGGTGGGGGCCGGCACCCCGCAGCACGAACTGAGCGTGGAGCTCTTCCAGCTGTGTTTTAGTTGGCCAGATGTTTAGTTAAGTAGAGGAGTGTCCTCCCTCGAAGAAAGTCGTTGAGGCAACATTGCTCCTTGCTAATTAAACCCTGGGGAATACGAGCAACCTCACGCTGCTTCCTCTGCCACCCCCACGCAGCGCCCCGAGCCCTCCCCAGTGCCCCCAGCCCTGGCACGGCCCTGGCTC